CCTTCAATCGCCAAGCGTTGTTCGTCGTCGTCGTGAACGTTCTGATCGTCGTCGTTGTGAACGTCGTGACCAGCACTTGAGGCCATTCCCAACAACAGCGCGCGCGCCACGGATCGGCGGCACTGGCCAGAGGCCACTCACATTCGCCGGCCCACTGGGCCAGAAGCGTGGTAAGATCTCCGGCAACTGGTGAACACGATTCTAATCCGCGCGCGCGGGGCGGCCTCTGGGGGTTCCTGGACGAAAAATACCCCGACCAGGTCCCGGCAAGGTCGGCTCAGAAATGGTTTTCCTCCTCGGCGCTGCCTTCCAGGCCTCCCATAGCGCTCCAGGAACGCGCCAAGAAGGCTCCGAGACGCCCCCGAAACGGTCCAAGGGGCCCCCAGTCGCCGAAAGATTGCCCCAAGACGCCCATGATGGTCTCCAGACGGCCCTTGACGCCGCCGAGAAGCTCCAAGAGAGCCTCCAGAGGCCGTCCAACAGGCCCCAACAAACACAAATCGTCTCATTCCCTTAGGAAAACTTGCATTTCTGGCACAGACGACGCCCGGGGGTTCACAGCGCCTAAGACTGCCCAAGAGACCCCCGAGATCGCCCCAAGATGGCCCAACATGCCCCCAAGATGCGCCCAAGAGGGCCTAAGAGGACTCCAAGACGGCCCACGACGCCCCCAGAGAGCGAACTCGGAATGACATTTGAAGCTCCCCGACCCCGGGGGGCCCTCCGAGACCGCCTGCAGGCCCCCAAGAACCACCCAAAAGTTCTGTTGATCCACAAAGGATAATACCCGATCTTCTCAAGCTTATCCTCTGCATTGGCAGCCCAAGCTTTGCCGCGGCAGCGCGGGCTGCAACCTTAATCCGGGACGGCCCACGCACCTTCATCCTTGAAGACGTCTGCCATTCTGAGCTTGGAAATCGCCGACGAGTCGGTCGATGCTGGAGATGACGGTGCCACGAACGCGATGAATTCATTCTCGGCGGCCTCTGATACACAATCGTGGAGCAACGCGGTCAAACCGCCAATGCCTAGGTCGCCCTGGCCCTGACATATCGCTATCGCGCGCTTCGTGAACATCTCCATGACAATCTTCAGCCCCTCAGCGCCGGTGCGACGGTCACTCTCGACGATTTCCCCGATGGCTTCGGCCTGGAAGTCGGTGGCACGGTCGGCCTTCTTCGCCGTCTCCTTCTTCTCCTGAGCGAGCTCGCGAAGCCGTTCATCAACGCGCGTCGCAAACATTGGCTACGAAACGCGCGGACGATACCCTTGGTACTACCCCTTGTGTCATGATGGCCATGAGGACACTCACCCAGCTGGCGTAGCGCCTCGCATCTCTCCCTCTTGGTCTTGTTACCAGAGTCTCTGCAAGTGAGAGCGACGAAGCGAGCCGACAAGCCAGCGCCAGCGAAACATGCACAACAGCGAGCACACGGATGAGGCAGCGGCGGCTCTGGAGGCTTCTTCCTGCTTGTCGAGCTGCTAGCGCCGGCGCTGACAGGACAGCGCGCGCCATCTGCATAACGACGCGCGATGTGATCATTATCCAACTGAACGGACTGCGCATCGAACCACGCTCAACAACATGTCAACTCCTCTTCTTGACACCGCGACCCCAGGAGACATCGTCAGGCGCATTCCCAGGTGCCTTGCCACGCGTGAGACCTCTGTGCTGACCAGCGACAAACGTCGCGTGTTAACCAAGAACAGAAACCAACTCTGGAATATATGTCGCTTCGAACTCCTCATCCGATAGACTGTTCCTCGAATAGTAGCCGGGGGCGTCTGTCGAGGCACTCGGAGCGGCAGCCCTAGCGGCAGGCACGCGGAGAGCAATGCGCACGTGAAGCTTCTCGCCCGCCCCGCCAGCCCCGCCCCGCCAGCCTCTGGGCGGCGCCCCGAGCAGCGGCCGCACGCTCGCGCTCGGGGCTGCGAGCCAAAGCGGCTTCAGGCGGGCGTCCTCGAAGCAGCTCTCGTAAACGTGCTCCTCCACGCGCCCCTTCATCAAACGACGCTGCCTGATGCACTTCTCTCCCTCACTCAAACGTGGTCCACGACAATGTGCGACATGTGATGAGTGGAAGAGCAGTAGGAGGCTGTGGCATGTGGTGCGTTACTGGTGCCGTGACGATGATGGCGAATGGTGGATGTACCGCGACAGATCCTGCGGGCGCGAACCGTTCGTCGTCGCCGTCCTCGCGCAACGGGAGTGGTCGCTCACCAGCGTGCGCCATCATAGCCGTCTTGGGTTGCCCTTACACTCGGGGTCCCCAGACCAGTGGCCAATCTCATTGCAGGTTTTGCACCTCGATCGTTTCTTGATTTCCTGGAGGCGAGCCTTGCGCTCTTCCGCTGTCGATGATCCCTTGCCACCGCCCTTGGACGATGAGGGCTGCCAGCGGTGACCTTTTCCTTTGCCTCTACTCTTGCCTCCGCCTCCGGCGCCAAAATTGGCTGCCAAGTCGTCTCCGTGTGACTGGGTCATATCAGAAGTTTCTTCTTCCCTTTAGCCGTGATTGACCATTTCCTCCATTGCATCGGCGTCAAGCTCTTTCCCGCACGGTGTAAAAGCCCACTAAGATCGCTGTCGCCCCGGGCTTGGTCGTCTTTCCAGGTGTCTGTCCACCCAGACTCGTCGTCCCAACCATACTCATGTGTCAACCCGGATGCGTAGGAACTGTAGGGACGCAGCTCCTCGGGGTACTGCTCCTCCTGCTTATACCAGCTGTCGTTAGTACCGTGGTAAGCCTGTGGTGGCATGGAGTACCTGGCCTTGCCATTGCCCTTGCTAAGGTTTCGAAGCGTCCGCTGAGTGAAGGTGGAGCCGTTGCCCGAGTTTTCATTGCCATGTTGGCGGATGTGGATACGACCGCGCTGGAGGATCAAGACGTTATTGATATTGTCGACGTTGGTCACATTTCTCGTTGATGGCATCACCACCGAGTTCTCCAAAGGCGAAAACACTGCATGGCCCAAGAGAAAAGATCCAAGCCACTCATCATGAAGTTCGGACCGAGTTTAGAGACAAGTTTCCACCAGCGCTGTATACGTGATATGTACGAGACCACAGACTCACCGCTCTGTCGGGACATTGGCCCGAAGGGCCTCTGTCCGAATCGGAAGAGGATCTTGGCTTCCTGGGATTCTATGGGAAAGAGCGAATTACAGATCGCCTGTATCAGCAGATCGATGCCTGCTTTAGTCAGAAGCGCATCCTTGCAGGCATCCATGGCCATATCGAACGCAACGCCTCTGAGGTCCCCTATCACTTTACTGACGGCTGCTGTGACGGCGTGTGGTTGTGGCTCTCCCGTTGCAGGATCAACGGCGGCCAAAGCAACACTCATGCGCACCTCTGTGCGGAACCCCCTTTTCATGGAAGTTGTTCTTTCTACCGTCGTAGATGTAGGACCGGCTCTCCGTCGCCGATCTTGTTCGTGAGTCGGCATGTGCTCTATATTGAAAAAAAGACAATGCCACGGTGCAGGCAAGTGCGCAGGCAAATAGCAAGACAGTCTACAGTCCCCTTGTAAGGGTCACTACTCAAGCAAGTACGAAGTACGATGTGATGATCGTGAGGAGCTCTCCCTGGAGAGACGAATCCTGCGCAGTGGTTCGGTCGCCGAAGACTGTGTAGCAGGCATTGCTACAAGTGTGATGTATAATGTTTTTTGTGCCTTGGCAAAAAGGGCCCATTGAGGGTCAAACGGCAGCGACTGGCGCACGTACGTGTCATGCACCCAGTATATGCAAGTAATGCTTTACATAACGACAACAACATTGGCAATATCATGTGGGAATCCATCCGATCATCACGAGCGTGCATCCTGTTGAGCTGAATGATTTGCCACGAATTGACGTAGGCTCGATGGAACCCGACAAGCGTTCGATCACGGGAGCACTTGTTCCTTGCTCTGCGATGCCACGCAGCTTCCAAAGGGCGCGTCGTGATGACGCGGGCCGTTACTGCAGAGAAGGGCAATGGTGCGGCACGCGGCGGGGCGCGCGCGCAGTGTCGGACCGAGCTCCCCCAAGAGCTCGGGTCAGACGTTTCCTCCCCTCCTCTTCCTTCTCTTCCTCCTCCTCCTCCTCCTCCTCCTTCTCCTGCTCCTCCTCCTCCTCCTCCTCCTCCCTCCTCCACCTCCCTGGGAAAACCAACAGGTAACGATACCGCTGCCCCCCAGACCTCTCCTGGAGCGCGTTCTGACCAGGATTCCGAAGAGGGCCTCCCAGGAGGCCCCAAAATGTAGGAAAACGAAGCAAGGGTAGCGGAATGGGTACCTGTTTCTCATCTGACTCTCCCCCCCTCCCCCTCCCCCCCCGCGCGCGGGCACTCCTGGGGCGAGGTGGCGAAGACCACGGGGGCGCAGCCGCCTGCGGGCGGCGGTGCTCCGGAGGCCCCCGGACCGAAGAGCTGCACGCTCTTGAGGTCGTCGCCCAGCCCCTCCGCCCCAGGGCCCCTGCACCGCAGCACCTGGGGAGCCCACAAGTCGGCGGCGAGCAGGGGGGGGGGCAAGTGAGAAGGGGCGGGCCTTCTCAGAAGGCCTTCTGAAAAGTTTCCTATGCCTTCCCCGACGACACCGAAAACTTCTCGGAAGGCACGAAGTTTTCTGAGAAGCCCCGCCGTCTTCTGAGAAGGCCTTTTCCTTCTAAGTTCCCCCCTCGCTCGCCGCCGAACAAAAGATGTACGCGCCCAACCACGTACATGAATACGGCCCCCCAGTCCGCGAGACCAGCCTCATGTGACGAACTTTCGCGCAATTCCTATTCTCGAGACAGCGTGGATTCATGTACGTGTACGTCCTTCTGTCGTGGAGACGGAGGACTCGGGTTCGGGGGACTCGGGTTGGCCTGACCGGGCCATCATGAAAATGATGAGACCCATTCTGAAATTTGACGCGAGATCCCGCTGCAGACATCCCACGAAAGCTGGACCGTCAAAATCCAGGACGCGCTCGTCAAAAAGCGTCGGCAGACCCGAGTGCCGGCGCACTCGAGTCTTACGTTTCCCCGATTCTGTCGCTCCTGAGCACCAGGCCTCCCTGCGGGGTGACGCCGGCCATCGGATACACCGACCACTGCGCCGCCGCGGGGGCTCCGTCTGCCACCTGTTCGGAGGGCACGAGCCGCGCACCCGCAGAGAACCCCTGCCAGGGCCCATCCTGTGCCTGAGACCTCCTCCTCCTCCTCCTCCTCCTCCTCCTCCTCCTCCTCCTCCTCCTCCTGGCCAGGCCAGGCCAGGCCAGGAGGGCGTGTGCACTGATCCCTGAGCCCTGGCTGGGCCCTGGCCAGGATCGGAGCACGTGCGAAGTGCTCCGTGCTCGAGCCTGGGGCCGGCGCATGCCCACGCAGACGCCCTGCATGGTGGACAGGCCGGCCGCCTTGGCATAGCCCTTCAGGGCCATCGCCGCTGGCATCGCCTTGCCGTTCACCACCACCACGTCGACCGAGAAGCCGCCGTCCGTGTTGGCGCCAGCCTTCGCGACATCCAGCGCAGGGCCCAGCGGCTGGCAGCCGACGAGGTCCAGCGAGGAGCTCGCGGCACCCTGGAGGGCGAGCCCCAGGACGACGTCCATCTTCGCTTCCCCATCGAGCGACATGTGCGCCGCTCCCGAGCCCGCGCCACCCCGCACGGCCGCGAACTCGACGGACACGGGGAGTGGCGCCTCCGGGAGCGGCTGCCTGGCCAGCTTCCCGCCCTCGCCCCACGTCGCCGCGGACTTCGCGTCGGGGTCCGCGATGCCCTGGTCGCCGAGGAGGTCCATGACGTCCTCGAAAGGCCTGGAGCGCATGTCCTCGCCGTTGATGCTTCTCACCACCATGCCCAGCTTGACCCCCTTGTCGGCGCACTGGCCCATGGCATCCCCCTTGTAGCGCCCCTTCTCCTGCATCTCGAGAATCTGCTGGCCCACCTGGTGGGTCGCTGGCGTGCGGGGCATCTCCCCGCCCCTCGACGACCCCAAACTAGGAGCCGAGTCTTGATTCTGAGAAGGAGGCTCGACCACGTGCAAGAGCGACTCTAGGCAAGGGCGACCTCGGGTGCGCTGATTTACGGGGGCCGCGGGGGCGCCGAATCCGAGCGTGCAGGCCAGCGCTGGGGGGACCCCCGTGGGCCCGGACCACAAGGTCACTCCGGCGAAGGGTCCCTCTTGCGCTTAGCCGAAGGAGGTGTAGGGCACGGGAACGGCCGAGCTGGTCAGGGTGCGCTGGGACGCGCGGCGGGCTCAACTCTGGTCTCGAGGGATCCACCTGGGGGCTCCCGACCATGTCCCACAACCATGCTGCTACCATCAAACAAAGGGCTTTCCTGGCCACGGCGAGCTTCGGCCACGAATAGGTTCCCCGACCTGGATTCTAAGGACTGGCACGGAAACCAGAGCCCCTCCTGAGCCCAAAGTAGTCCATATTTCAGCGTCTAGGCTGCAGGTTCCAACCCTTCCAAGCGAGTGCAATACCTATCGGATCGGTTCCCAAGCTGACAACAGACATCCCAACTACAGGCCCAGTGGTGTCCCAGGGCACTCCCGATACACACCGAAAAGGCTTCCAAGAGGCTCCCGAGATGTGGCTTCAAAGAGGCGCCTGGGAGCAAGCAGCGTCGAAAGACATCCCACCAGCCCTCTAGGCGTGAGTGGTTTAGAGCGCTTCCTCTTCCAACCCCACGTCTCTTGGAGGGGAGGGAGGGATTCGCGAGACGTTGGAACGTCGGTTTTAGCCTGGGCGCGGAATATTTTTGCCTCCTGGGGGGTGACTCTAATAGGGGAGCCCCCCTCCTTTGATCGATCTCCTCCGACATGGCCCAAAGATGGCTCCCAAGGTTCCCAAGGGTGCCTCAAGATGGCCCAAAGGTGCCCGGGAGGCCCCAAGAGCTGCCCCCAAGAGGCCCCCGAGATGCCCCCAAGAGGCTCCCAAGACCCCCCGGACATCCCAAGAGGCCCCCCCAGAGGCACCCAAGACGCCCCAAGAGGCCTCGGCGAGAATGACAAAATCGCTGATGTTACTAAGGTGTTGGCCACATGTTGGCTTCCTGGGGGCGGCCTAAGTAAGGAGCCACCCCTCCTTTGATAGATCTCCTCCTAGATGGCCCCAAGATGCCCCCCGAGGTACCCCAAGCCCCAAGAGCCCCTCAAGAGGTCCCCAAGATACCACCGAGAGGCCCCGAAGAGACCCCGAAAAGGCACCAAAAGGCTCCTTCGAGGCACCCCAAACGCCAGAAGAAAACTCGACGAGAATGCCAAGCCATCAATTTTACTAGAACGTATTGGCCACATGTTGGCCTCCTGGGGGGGAGCCTAAGTAAGGAGCCCCCCTCCTTTCATCGATCTCCCTCAAGATCCCCAAGATGGCCCCCGAGGCTCCCAGGGGTGCACCAAAACAGCCCGAAGAGGTGACCCAAAGAGGCGCCCGAGAGGCTCCGAGATGCCCCAAAAAGCTGTGTTGAAGTCTCAAGAATGGTGTTCTGGCACGGTTCAAGATCCTCAAGACGCAACAGCCAGGTTGATCCGTGGCGTTGGAATCCCGAAAACATTGTTTTGGCATGCTTCAGGGTCTTCAAACGGTTGTCTTCCAACGAAACAGTTCCCTCAATGAAAATGAACCGTAGGGGCCTGTGAAGAGGGAGCTTGGAGGAAGGGTTTCTTCCAACAGCGTTGATGACTCTTGGGTTTCCACTGGTCCTCCTGCTCCTCCTCCTCTTCCTCCTCCTCCTCCTCCTCCTCCTCCTCCTCTTGCTCCTCCTTCGATTCCTCATCCACCCTCCCCCTCTTGGGGTATGACGTCTTGCCCAACCCATTATTCCACTGCGTTCTACTCCGCATTCCTGATCAGGGCAACCCGTCCGGGCATCGTTTGTGGATACCTCCTCCTCCTCCTCCACATCCTCCTCCTCCTCTTGCTCTACCTTCGATTCCTCCTCTACCCTCCCCCTCTTGGGGTACGACGTCTTACCCAACCCTTTCTTCCACTGCGTTCTACTCCGCATCCCTGATCAGGGCAACTCGTCTGGATAGACTGGCGGAATTGCGCGAAGCGTCTGGAATTATGGCTTCAATATCTTAGCCTTACCACCATTGAAAGCCTTGGATAGTCTCCAGTAGCACTGCAGACGACTTTCGATCGGTCCTCAGGGCACCCCAGAGGGGTGCAAAATAGACCCCAGCCTAGAAGCCCTCCATGACGGCCCCAAGAGGGCAAGGCCAAGACGGCGCACGACCGGCCCAAGATGAGATCAAATATTACCCACACGATTATCCCAAACTGCCCAGAGATCCCACCGGAAGGAGCATGGAGAACATCCAGGGGCCACCAGGGACAATGGAGCCAAGAGGCATACGCGCCATGAACCCCCTTTCCACGTTGATGGCCGCACCACTCGCGACGGGCACGAGGTGTCACCCCAAAACAACCGAACGCGGCAATTCCAAGAAAGGCAACGACTGACCAGAATGTGCCCAAAACCAACGCGCAACACGATCCTGAAGGCATGACGAAATTTCAATTCGACGGATGCGACGCCAGCCTGACGAATCATAGCACCCTTGCCGTCCAGGCAAGGGCAATACCGCTTCACACCGAACGGCCTCCTGGTGAACTCTGCGGAGACCATCGCCACGACCGCCCCATCATCGGTGGAATCCACTGTCGGGTCGCCCCTGATCCACCCGTGGCCGTCGCTGCGGTCTCTGGTCCGGAGCTGACGCCCCGAGTCCTTAGCTGGCTCCCAATCAAGCTCAGGCGCCGCGGCGGCCGCCTGCGCCTTGCCTGGCGCCACCACCACGCCGCACTTCGTGGCGTTCGGATACCGCGCGTCCAGCGCCTCCAACAAGTTCCTGGTCAGAGCCGCTGGCACTTGCGGGTCCGCGAACAGCAGCAGCGAACCGTGGGCCCCGTCGGGTACGCCCGGGATAGGGCTCTGCGCGGCCGTGCCCTTGCCCAACTGGCCCAGCTGCTCCTTGCCCACGGACAAGGGCACGGCAGCTCCTCCGTCGCTGCGCGCGATGGCAACACGAATGGACTCGCCCGAGTGGATGCCCACCAGCGGGATACCTCCAGGGAGCGCCGCCCGGATTTGCTGCGACGCCATTGCGATCTCCCCGCCCCATGTCGCCGGGATGGTCAGCAGCGCGAAGCACGGAGGTGGCCCTGGAGAGGCCACCGCGGCCGCGGCCTTCTGGGCGACCTCCGCCACGCCCGCGGAGAGATCCTGCGAGGCGGTTTTATCAATGTCCACCGCCTGGGAACCGACGCCCTGGTGCCCCAGCGGGCGGTGGATATGGATATGTTTTGGCCCCCGGGGACCCGAATTGATCCGTATCCACTGCCTGTGGAGGTCCGCGGAAATCGATCCCACAGGCGGTGGCTATGGATGAATCACCGCCTCGGAGATCCTGGCTGCCCGAGTCCACAAGGTCCCAGCGTGCGGCGCGCACCTGGACCCTCAGCGCGCGGCCGGCGCGGCCCCTGCGCCGTCGCGCCGCCCGAAGCTGGCGCAGCCCCCAGAGGCCCAGCGACGCCAGAGCCACCTGAGGGCGACGACAAAGCCAGACCCCCGACGTCGTGTTTTTTACGTCGTCGACCCCAGAGGTATGGAGTTTGAAACGGGCTGGGGGGCCCAGCCAGCAGCATCGCCTTAGGCGAAGCCAAGCTCCAGCTCTGCTGTACCGTAGTCACGATAGTCCCAGTAGGAGAGGACGTGCCATCTCAAGCAGCAGGAAGATCCTTTTGGTCTCGATAGCGATTGTGTGCCTCGCAGTGAGGCGCAGTCATATTTGGGCGGCCGGCCGCTTGAGCCGACGCGGCCGCGGGCGCACGCTCGCTTCCACTCCTTACGTCCACCAGCTCGCCCTAAAGTCGGGGGGGGAGGGGGACGAAGCGTGAGCCCGTCGCCCCTACGCAGCAGGCACAGCAGCTAGTGTACACAAGGACAGAAGAAGGAGAGCGGGCCAAAAGGAAGGTAGACCCGCTCGCAAGTTGCCTCGCTTATACTTGACGCACTCATCAGGCGGCGTCAGAACTTGATGTCTGGCCGGCCCGATATGGAGTATGTCTCTTTAGGTCATGCTTGAAGTCCTGTATACCTCCCATGACTTGTAGGAGCACTTCTCTGTCGATGCTCCCCTTGGTGTGACCATCCGCGATCATATCGCGGGCGTCGCACCACTGGATGCTGCGCACGATCCCACGCTCCATCATCTGTCGTATCCAACTGATGTGTCCTACAGTGGTACACTCAGTCGGCTTCTTCAAGTCTTTGCTTGACAAAGACCTCAAAATGTTAGGCATCTATGGTCCAGGTGACCTTGATGCTCAGGCCGCCCAACTCAAGTATATCTTTCAACTGAGTGGGCGTGAGCGGCCCTCCGTGAAGCTCGTTCAGAGTCACAATCGTGGGATAACAGTCATCCAAATTATGGGCTGCTGCTAGTGTCTCTGCTGAATAGCTCGAGCGGACCTGCAAGCGGTGAGACTTGCAGTACGCATCGATCAAGTGAACGACAGGCTTACCAGATGGCGTGTTTCCACGTAGTAGCAGGCTTGCCCCGCGATTGCCATAGCCTTTGACGTCGTCGTCGGCGTCTCCACTCAGGCGTCGGCATCCTGAGTCGCTATGCAGGTCGACATCGCCCGTAGGATTCATCGCCTTGTAGACGATCTTTTTTGGGCAGGACTGTAGCTTCCTGGTGATCGCGTTCAGTCGTCGCACTTGGAGGTTGGTCGGTTCTTGGACACGTTGTAGAGAAACGACATACACCATCAACCACACCTGAGTGATTAATGCATAAGCCAGCGCGCCCCTGAGGCTGACGAACATGTCTGCAACCATCTTGGTTGCCTGAGCGTCAGCGTCGGCACCGGTCAATTCGGGATGTTGTATAGGACGGAGCTATTTGATGTATTCATATAGGTCCAAAGGGACATTGCCGTCCTCATCCTTGGTGTATCGCACAGCACAGTTGGTGCATGTGTGCTTGTTGAGTTTGCACTTACCACAGGTATCTTCAACGCACTTGACACACTTGTCAATGGTGTCCTCAGCACCGGCTATATTACTGTCATCAACGTGCTTGGCCGTGAGCAAGTTGTTGCTCGTCTCGAACCCCTCGTCGTAGGACGTGGGTCGGAGACCGAAGCCTCTGGTGGTCCTTCTGAGTTTAAGTGAGAAAGCCCGTGGTGCGTCTTTTGTGCCTGTGCCTGGTTTCAAGCACTGCAGGCAGTGCTTTGACTCGTCATAGTGCTCGAATCCTGGGAGAGTTCGGAGCACTGTGGCCGATCCAGGCGGCAAAGCAAAACACACCACGCGTTTTTTTCACAAGTAGCCTCAGCAAGTTCCTGATAGGTCAATCCTTTCAGGATGGCCATGTTGATGTCGAAGCAATGATCGATTTCTCCTTGCACGCTGCCGTTCTAGCGAGTAGCCTCTGGCTTGACCGTCGCGCTGTTCTTGAAAATGTGTCTACGTCGAAGGCTTCGAGATCCACGAAACCTCGGAGAACCAGGCGTAGTCTGATGGCACGTTCCATCTCGCCCTTTTCGTTCTTCACGACTTTCCATTTGCACGCGTATCTCGAAGTCATGATGTTCGACGCTATAGCTATATCTTGCATCTCAAAGCACTTGTTATCAAACCATGTCTTGAGTTCGGTGTAGAGGGCCTTCGATACTTTATCGGGATTCGCCTGTATGTCAGCTATAGCGAGGAGGTCGTCTTCCTTGACGACCACAGCTCGCTTTGCAGCGGCGGTTACGTACCTATACGACCACCCTTCGGGTGATAAGGAGGTTCGGGGGGGGGGAAACCAACGTCTCACTCGATCGGTCTCACTATCGATCTCAGTATCGATCTCACCATCGGTCTCGCTCGATCGATCTCACTCGATCGATCTCACAACCGATCTCACTCGATCTATCTCATTCGACCAATCTCACAATTAATCTCACAATCGATCTCACAATCGATCACACAATCGATCTCACACGCGGTCTCAATATCGATCTCACTATCGATATCACAATCGCTCTCGCAATCAACGTCATCATCATCATCATCATCAACAACGTCAGCAACATCAACATCATCACCAACATCGTCACCATCATGAGGGCACCGTCATCATCATCAACATCATAAACATCATCATCACCATCAACGTCAGCATCGTCATCGGGACAACATCATCATCACCAGCATCATCACATCATCAACATCATCATCATCGGGGCACAGTCGTCGTCATCATCATCAGCAGCATCATCAGAATCATCATCATAATCGGAACACCATCATGATCACAATCGTCCTCATCATCAACATTATCATAAAAATCGTCATCATCCTCGGGACACCAGCATCATCATGACCATCGCATCGTCATCATCGACATCATCATCATCAACAACATCATCATCATCATTGGGGCACCATCATCATGAGCAACATCATCATCATCAACATCGTCATGATCATTATTATCATCATCGGGACACCATCAGCATGACTATCATCATCATCATCACCATCATCATCCTCAGCATCAGCATCATCATCGGGACACCATAAGCATCATCAACATCATCCACATCAACATCATTATTGCCAGGACACCATTTCCACCAACATCATCATCACCAACATCATCGGAATCAACATCATCATCATCTGGACACCATCATCGTCATCATCAACATAATCATCATGATCATCATCATCCTCATCATCGGGACACTATCATCATCATCATCGACACCATAATCAACATCATCAGCATCATCATCATCTTCATCGGGACACCATCATCATCATCTCATCGTCATCATCATCACCATTATCATCATCATCATCATCATCATCTCATCATCATCATCCTCGCGGGACACCGCGGGGCACCGGAAGGACACCGCGGGACGCCGCGGGACACCGGCGGGGCACCGCGGGCCACCGGCCGCCCGGAAGGGAGACATTTGGTCCGGCCGCGCCTCAGCCACACGGGACACCAGCGGGACACCGGCGGGACACCGCCGCCGCCCGGCGGAGAATCATTTGGTCCGGCCGCGCCTCAGCCACAGGAGACTTTCCTCTCGCCCGCCCACGCAGCTTCGCCTCGCCCGCACGGCACGCACGAACACGAAACCGAAATCGATTTCCCGGTAGGGGGGCTCTCCGTTCCACTTCGATCTCACCCCCTCACCTCCGATGCTCGCATAGCGGTCACCTGGTCGGCATCTAATATCATATGTTGTTGTTCGGACAGGACTACCCTTGACATTTCTGTCGTACAGAAGAGTTCGACAGATCGACCATTTTCATCTGAGTTCAGTCAGTAGTTGTCGTCTTTGACCATGGCGGACATTGGGACGTAATACGTCTCCTCGGTATCAGAGTCGTGAGTGCGTCCCCGCTTCGGCAGGTGTCCCCGCTGTTCATCAGCTACAGTGATCAGCACACGTTGATCTGAAACCATTTGTGTAGGTATGGCAAAGAGGTTCTCTGGTGGAGTGGCCTCCAGCAGTTCCCTTCCCTCTTGTAGTTCTGCATGCCACACTTCCATAACATGCGACTCAAGATCAGCCTCTGATTCTTCGTAACTCGTAGAGAGCCGCCCATCATCATGTGGTGGTTCGGCTTCTGAGGCTTCTCTTGTGGTTCCCTCCGGTGTCGGAGTATCTGCCAATTCCTCAAATATTGGCATGTCCTGGTCAAAACCTGCTTGAGGTTTAATGGGCTTCAGGCATTGAATAATTCTCGACTGTGCTGATGCAATTATACCGTGTATATTCAAAGCTGTGCCTTCTGCTTCGTAACAAAGAAATCCTGGATTCACGTCGTTATCGTAGTGGACCTATGTGTAACTGTCGGCATAAGTAACCGGAGGCAGCTTATGAATAATCTTGGCGATCCTGACTGAAACTACATTCACAATACGAAAGAAGTTTCTGAGTAGGTATTGTAAAGCTAGATCTACCTTGGGATACAGACGGCTTGCAGTCGTCATCTGAAGCGCCCCTTTCTTTGTCGGCACAGAGCCAAAGGTCAAAACAGGTCTCCCCGTCGATAGGCTGGCTACGAATGTTAACGCTGTGCGTAGTGCAGTGCTGTCGGAACCTATCTCTCGGGCTATCAGTGCCTCAACGTATAATGAATGTCTTGCATCGCCGTATTGCACTTGAACATCTCGATTGCCCACTCGGATGATGACCTGACCCCTTTCGAAATCATTCCTTACAGCTGGGAACGGGCCATTCCAGCCTCCCCAGTCACCCTTCGTGGTCGCGGGGCCATGATAATCGACCAAGTCTCCTTCACCGTAATAGTGCTGACCAGTAATAGTCGTTTTAGTGCGTAAGGCACGATTGGTCTTAGCTACTGATGTGGCGTGTGTGATAGCTTCAATACATGCCCTGCGTATCGTCTGTTCACGAGAGTGGTCCGACGTTCCCG